CCCTTATCCCAATACAAACCCCTCAAAATATAATACCTCCAACAGTTGGGGCACAGAGAAAGGACAACTGGTATACTCTCTTCAGTTGCTATGTCCTCCATACCACACAAGCTGAGCAAATCCTTTTAGATTTCCATACTTCAGTTCATATAGGCTATGAACTCCTACTACACCTTCTTCAGCCCTTATATTACTCTCCCCACATGGTCAAGTTTCTAAAACAAATCACTCAAAACTGTCCTTTGTGTACTTCTTGCTCCAATCCTTTCCACCCACCAGGCCAGAGGGTACACTTCTGGCCGGGATTGGCAAATTGACTTTACTCACATGCCTCCCCACAAAAGGACACGCTATCTTCTAACATTAGTAGATAACTTTTCAGGTTGGATTGAGGCTTCTCCCTGCACTTCACAGGATGCTACAGTAGTAACGCATACTCTCACCTCAGAAATCATCCCTTGTTTTGGCCTACCCACCAGTCACTCACTTGCCTACGGGCTGCCCCTCAAAAGCCCACAGGCCTCAGACCCTTTGTGCTTATGTATGGCATACCCTTCACTCTCACACCTCTCCCTTCTAGCTCATCACCTTTAGGCCAGTATCTCCCTACTCTTTCACTCATTAGGGATCTTCTTCGGGAACAGGCCAACCTTCTATTACCTCATCTTTCCCCACCACCATCTCAGACTTTAAACTGAGCCTGGGACAGCAAGAGCATATTAAAACCTGAATCCCAAAGCCCCTCTCACCATGCTGGGAAGGGCCTTATACAGTACTTCTCACCACCCCGAGGGCAGTAAAGGTACTAGGAAAGGCCCCTTGGTATCACTTAGCCTGGGTAAAACTAGCACCTGAGACTTTACCCAAAAATCTGCTAACACCGAGCCAGAGAGGTCCCTCTGCTCAACCCCCAACTGAACATCTCCTCACACTTCATCCATTTTAGGACCCACAAAACTGAAAATCTCCAGGACCTCCACTCTTCCCCCAATCTCAGAAGAATCGTGATCTTTCCCCCAGTGATCATCCTTTCCACTCCTGCAGGCCCGCTTCACATCCTTCACACAAAAGCTACTATTATACTGTTTTAGTACTTGCTACAGGATTAGCCACTGCTGCCCCAAGAGAGTGTAGCATTATAGGAAGATTTCTCCTGGCACTCCTATCAGTAGGATGCTTCTTAGCAATTTCATTGTGGCAATGTGACCTTTAAATTCTTTTGGCTCCCTAACCCTTCGCATCCTTCCTGTGTTTTTCCTCCTATCTCAATGCTCCCCATTACCTGGAACATGGAGGTTCCAGGTCCACAGGGATGATGCAGTTCTCAGTGAATCAGACTGGTCCCCAAGTGACTTATCTGTCTCCCACTTTGCGAGAAACATTTTGTGGTCACCCCCCTCCCTGTCAATGCAGCCCGTAATGTTTCCACAAACGTCTCTTCACTTTCCTCTAATCTCACCTCAGTGGGGACTGTCAGCATTGTTCAGGGCCTGCCCCCACTCTGCCTTACTAACACCAAATGCTACCACTGACTTACCCCCTCTTTATCCATGCCCTAAAACAGGAATATATTTCCATTGTAAAACTACGTTATCCTTTTGCTTGCCCCCACAACGTGATTTCTCACATATTCTTTTGGCTCGTCCCTGACATCACCCTCTAGACACATGGAGAGATGGAGACAGGACTGGGACTAACTTCGCCCCCCACCCCTTCAGGAAGTGCCCCTCACTCCCGTAGAGCACTAATTGTACCTTTTTAATTGGGGCGGGGATCCTTCCTGCAACTGGAACTGGCATAGCAGACCTTGCTACTGCCTCTCAATTCTATCAAAAACTCTCAGAAGAACTAAGTATAGATAGTATCTCCTCCCTCCAGTGACAGGTCACCTCACTCACAACAGTCGACAGTCACTTTACAGAACTGTCAGGCCCTTTACCTCCTTACAGCCGAGAAGGAAGGCACCTGCCTCTTCTTGGGGGAGAAATGCTGTTATTACATAAATGAGTCGGGGTTATCCAAGACAACTTAAACCATTTCACTGAACCCTTGGATACCCTGGTTTATGCCGCTACTAGGACCCCTAACTATGCCTCATCCTACTTTTTGGTCTCTGTCTCTTTTGGTGTTTCTCTAATTTCTTGCAGGAACATATACAGGCTTTCACCAACCAAAAGGTCGCCAAATTGTTCCTGCAAGGAAGATATCAGCCCCTCAGAATCAGTGACCCTTCCCTGGAGGGATACAGCTTCCCCACATGAAACCAATACTCCACCACCTAACTGTTTTACCTGCCAACATAAATCTTCTATTTTTTCCATGTCTTCGCCCATCGCCAGCAGGAAGTAGCTTCAGAAGAATGAGACCTCCACCCTTTTTCCCTTTTTCCTATACTTAAAAGGCAGGAATAATAGATCTGCAACATAACCAGTGCCATTTTAGACGAGCCCAAGTACAAAATGGCACCGTCTACCTCTTCCCTTCTCCTCCCCCGTTCTCTTTTACAAGAAGCCTCATGGTTTCTCCTCCCCTGTTCTCTTTTACAAGAAGCCTCATGGTTTTGGAGAAAATGAAACTTTTAGGCATTTCCACATGCACAGAACTCTCCATTCCCATGACCTAACTCAATCTCCACCCCGGAATTACATCACCCAGCTCTTGGTGCCAACATACCAATATAAGCTGTACCACCCCACACCAGGGACTATCCCCATTTTCAGGGAAACCTCGGGCTGTCCTCCATTTTGAATATAGCCCAGCAGATTTCTTTCTTTAATAAAGCTTGAATGGTACCCAGCATCTTGGCTCACTTTCTTTCACATACTATATCTGTTTATCATTGCAAAAAGAAACATATAAAGGATAAACCAGAAAGGAATCAAGGTTATAACCTACAAGGAGTTGGGGCTGGGGGAGAAAGAGGTGGAAGTAATATGGGTGGCACATCTTTGACATATACTTTTTTGTATAATTCGTACGTTTAAAAGCATGTGAATATTCTGCATTTACAAAAAGTTAAATTAAATAAAAAATGGGAAAGAAGGCCGGCCCGGTGGCACACTGCTACAGTGCGCCGCTTGGGAAGTGCGGCGGCGCTCCCGCCGAGGGTTCGGATCCCACATACGGACCGGCCGCTCACTGGCTGAGCGAGGAGCGGGGGCAACACCGAGGGTTGCGATCCCGTTGCCGGTCCCGGTCCGGTACGGGTGAGACACTGAGGGTTGCGATCCATTGCCGGGCACGAAAAAAAAAAAAAATGGGAAAGAAAAAATGCCTAAAACAGAGAGCAAACTGAAACAAACCTAGTTGATTTCAAATGAATACAAAAGTTAGAATGAATGGAATGGACGAAGAAAGGAAAAAAGAAGGAAGGAGGGGTGGAAGGAAGAAAGGAAGGAAATCAGTCAAATCTAAGGAACACAGTATTTAACCATAAACCCTAGTTTTCGGCAGGGTGGTGTATGGAGGGCAGAGTGAAGAACTGCAAACAAATCCTTAGCAATATTTAGCAGGTTTCTTTATTGTAATGGCATGAGTTGAACAAATCTGAACTAATTTGTTCAAGTATTGATTGAACAAATGAGTAAACATGTTGATGTTGTTGAGACCAGAGTTACTGTTGCAGGAGGAGGAGCATATAAATATTGAATGGGGGAAAGCAAGAAAGAATTTTGTGGGGATACATTAGAATTAGAGGTACCAGTGAGAACGTATGATTTCTAAAATATGTATAGGTATGTGTATATGCAGGTTTATGTGCACATGGCATATATATGTTGATACGTATGTTTGTATATATTTCTATTTAATAGCAGGTATAGTATATACAGTTGGCTCCCATATCCATGGATTCCACACTGGTGGATTCAACTAACTGCAGACTGAAAACTCAATCAACCACAGACTGAAAACATTCTGGGGCTGGAGTGGGAGGGGAAATCCACAATGTTCCAAAAAGCAAAATTTGAATTTGCCGCAGGCCAAGTACTATGTTGAATCCATGCAAATGAAGTGATGTGTAGGCATTGTATTAGGTATTATAAGTGATCTGGGAGGATGTGCATAGTTTATATGCAAATACTATACCAATTTATGTAAAGGACTTGAGCTGTCCTCAGATTTTGTTATCCATGGGATCACAGAACCAATCCCCCGTGAATACTAAGGGACGACTGTATATTATATATGCATATATTATTAGCTCTGTCCATTGGAAGGCCAAGGAAGTAAAGCTACCTCAGTAGTAATGTGTACACATAGCACCCAGATCTTGGTCTCTGATCCCATTCCCCTAATAAAAAGAACCATGGTATTCGGAGTAAAAACTGATTCAAGAGCAGAGGCAGAAAATACAGAAGTGCTCGAAAAAATTATAGGGAAGGGGTGTTATTACATGCCAGCTTTCAACACCAAATTGCCAACAGTAATGAATTAAAAATCTTTAAAAAAAAATAGGAATTTATGACTTTGCACCAATATTAAATAGAAAAGTCAATGACTGAATAGGAAAAAAGGGAGGATTCTTATACTAGAATGCTGAGAGCCTTCTGATATATACCTCAGTAGTGATGTGTACACCTAGCACCCTCCTGGTATATGCAGGAGTGTTGGAACTGGAAAATCATCATTTTGCAGTCATCATGATAAAGATTAGCTCAGGAAATAATTATGAATGGACACGAAAATTAAGCATAAGATCCTCTTCACAAAACTCTCTTCCTTTCTGGAACAATTCACTACATTTTTATCAGATATTAATAAATACACAGCCTTATTATCAGTTCATAAATATTCTTTCAAATAATTCTTATTAATACATGCATGCTCACAATAGTTCTAATTTTGTCAAATTCCAGTAAGAGATGGAAATAACACCTGATTATTATTACTTTCCTGTAGCAAAGTTATTTCTTTCAATAACAATAATACAGACATAAATTGAACATTTTAAGATAACTGACGATGTAGAGTTATCTCATTTGGTTTGAATGGCCTCTTACCTAATGTTGCCCAGCTAACAACTTGATTCATCAGAGGCAGTCCCCCTTTCCTGAGCAGACTACTGTGGGTGCTATATACAACATACATGGAAAGCACTGTGCTCAGCATCTGAAAACAAATACAAAACAGGTTTAAAAAAAAAGAGAGAGAGAGAGAGAAACAATATACTAGAATGAATGCTTAGAAAAGAGCTGGGAACAACTGGAATCTGGCCAAAATGCTACTGAAATTGGTCTAGCTTACCTTCCTGTGGCCAAGGCTAAGAGTTAGTACTTTTGTACCAAACAAAGATTCTCCTTTACAAGCATGAAATGAGGCATTTTACACTTTCAAGAGTGTCTTGGCATATATCACCAAACTGTTTCTGTTTAGAAATATTTGTTGTAAACGTTGAGGGTTTCTTAAATCACAGAAACAAAGAGTGTGAAATGTACATAGTTTAATGTTTACAGTTTAGAGCCTTCCAGCTCTAGCCCTTCCTCACAGTAATATCCATTTATTCATTCAACATATTTTTGTGGCCTGAGTATTTAGCTGGCACTGGGAATATGAGTACAAATACTCTTCATAGAATATTTATTTATAAACTAGTGCAGAGGTTGGTAAACTATAACTTATAGGCTGGTGCACTGTTTTTATAAATACTGTTTTATTGGAGCATAGTTACTCCCATTCATTTCCATGTTGTCTCCCTTTGCACTACAATGGTAGAATTGAAAATTTACAACAGACTCCATATGACCCACCGACCTAAAATATTTACTATCTGGCTCTTCAGAAAAATGTTTATTGAGCCTTGTACTAGTGGACTAATTGCCTTTTTTTTTTTTTTCCTTTTTGTAATAAAGTTAAGGCAAAAAAGAATTTTGTAACAGAGCCACCTTACACTCAGTGGTATTTCTAACAAAGCACAAAAGAATCTTAGCATGGAAAATGCCACTGGGAGGTAGGGCAAGATGGTGGACTACAGGTGCCTGGGGCACATTCCTCCCACAGAAAAGGACGAGAGCAACTAATAGTCAGCTAAATATCAATGCAGAGTGTTGGTGGGAGAGTACAAGAATGCAGCAGGAGACTTGTGAGATCCCTGAGAAACATGAAATCCCAGGAAAAAAGCATAGAGAGGAGAGATAGGCACACAGCCTCAGCCGCCATATCTCCACCACTGGGATTGGCACAGGAGAGGCTTTCCTTTAAAGGGGTTAAAGGCAGGAAGAGGGCCCATGCCAACCCCCATCCTCACAACAGAGGCTTGCAGTTCCTACTGCAGGAGGATTTCACAGCCACTGCAAGCCTGGAGCTAACGGTAGGGAGCTGCCTAGACTACATGCACTGCATCGCTCTAGAACACGAGCACATACACCATATACTGCACTCCCCACCTCCCATTCTTGAGACCTAAGCCAACAAAGTATGGTGCCATCTTGAAACCAGAGCCCTTGCAGGAGCACGCCCTGCCCTGGGGGCCAGAAGCCACTGTACTTCCCCAGGCTTATGGCTCCAAAGTCATCCTGGTGCACTCAGGAGATACTACAATTCCCTGATCCCAGTGGCTTGAGGCCTGGACTCAGAAGCAGCTGTGACCCAAGCCCTGCATGTCTGGGAAGCCAATCCCAGGCCTGATGAACTAGTACACCCCCACATCCCTGGCCAGAGATCAGACAGGCACAAACATAGGCCCTCAACCCCCACCAGTGGGCTGAGTTCTATGCACCCAAGTTCCCAACCCAGATAAACAGCTCACAGTTCTCTAACCTGATAAACAAACTCTCCTGGACCAGTGGAAATAAAGTGCATTTGTGCCCTCCCAAAGAAGCAGCCAGGAGGTCTTGCACTCAACAGTCCCTCCTAGTAGCCTTGCCTACTGCTCTAAAAGAGGCCGACACAGTCCCCTCTCTGCATCCCTGCCTAGCAGCCTCACTCACTGCCCAAGAGGCCACCAGCAGGGCCCCTTCACTGCAGCCCCACCTAGTGGCCTCATACTCCACACAACTGAAACCAAAAGACACATTTTCAGGTGAAAATACAAAAGCCACTCTACAAAATTCAAACAGATGACTGTTCCACAAGATGCACAGATATCAATGGTCACTGCAGCCCCACCTAGTGGCCTCATACTCCACACAACTGAAACCAAAAGACACATTTTCGGGTGAAAATACAAAAGCCACTCTACAAAATTCAAAAAGATGACTGTTCCACAAGATGCACAGATATCAATGCAAGGAAACAAGAAACCTGAAAAAACAAGTAAACACGACACCACCAAAAAAACACAATAATGCTCCAATAACTGATCCCAAGGAATCAGAAATTGCCGACTTGCTGGAAAAGGAATTCAAATTAATACTCTTAAGGAAACTCACTGAGAAACAAGATAATGCAGCCAAACAATTCAATGAAATCAGAAAAACAATTCATGACCTAGATGAGAAATTTAACAGAGAGATAGATATCATAAGTAAATAAAAAATAAAATAAAATATAAAAAATTCCCTAGTCTTGGGAAAGATACAAACATCCAAATCTAGGAAGCTCAAAGATCCCCATATAGATTCAACTCCAAAAGGCCCCCTCCAAGACATACTGTAGTCAAACTGTCAAAAGTTAAAGACAAAGAGAGAATTCTAAAAACAGCAAGAAAAAAGCATCAAGTCACTTACAAGGAAATACCCATTAGATTAACATACCCATTAGACTAACAGTACATGTCTCAGCAGAAACCCTAAAGGCCAAGAGAGAATGGGATGATATATTCAAAGTACTGAAAGAAAAAAAGTGCCAGCTAATATTATTATACTCAGCAAAGCTATCCTTAAAGAATGAAGGCAAAATAAAATCTTTCTCAAATAAGCAAAAATTAAGGGAATTCATCACCACAAGTTTGACCTTACAAGAAATGCTTACGGGAGTCCTACATCTAGAAGAGAGAGAATGATAACAACTATCATGAAAACACCCCAAAATATAAAACTTACTGGCAGAACAGATATACAAATTAGAAAGAGAAAGAAACCAAACATCATCAGAACAGAAAACCACAAAACTGCAAGGATAAATGATAAGACAGAAAGAAGGGAACAAAGAATACACAAAATTATCAGAAAACACCCAACGAAATAACATGAGTAAGACCACACATATCAATAATAACTCTGAATGCAAATGGATTAAATGCCCCAAATAAAAGACACAGACTGTCTGAATGGATTAAAAAACATGACCCATATGCTACTTATAAGAAACACACCATACCTAAAAAAACACATAGACTGAAAATGGAGAGATGGAAAAGATATTCCATGCCAATGGAAAACAAAAGTGAACAGAAGTAGCTATATTATCAGATAAAGCAGACTTTAAATCAAAATCTACATAAGAGAAGAGGAAGGGCATTATATAATGACAAAGGGATCAATACAGCAAGATGATATAAGAATTATAAATATATATGCACCCAACACACCAAAGCACCCAGGTAGACAAAGCAATTACCATCAGATCTAAAGGGAGAAATAGATGCCAATGCAATAAAAGTTGTAGAATGACAGAGACTGAATTGTGTCCCCCAAGTTTTAAGTCTTAGAAGCTTGACTCCAACTGTGACTGTTAAGAGGGTGGAAAATCCTATTATAGGGGGGCCTTGAAGAGGTGATTACATTCCAAGAACCTTAAAAGGAGAGCAAATAAGTCTCTCTCTCTCTCTCTCACTGCTTCTGCCATCTCACAATGTGATACCCTGTGTCGCTGAAGCCATCATCAAGGAAGACCTTCACCAGATGTGTTTCCTGGACTTTGGACTTCCCAGTCTCAGAAAATGCAACCAATAAATTTTGCTTTCTTACAAATTACCCAGTTTCAGGTATTTCGTTATAAACAACAGAAACTGACTAACATAGGGACTTTAACACATCACTTTCAGGACTGGAAAGATCATTGAGACAGAAAAAAAAAAAAACAAAGAAATATTTTGAGACAGAAAACCAAC